ATTTACATTGCATTTGGAAATCAAGGTCCATGTGTTTGGTTGACGAGTGGAAAAGCACGGAACCATTGTTGCTTTATCCTCCACCGTGTTTTATCAGGTTCAGAGTCGGATTGAAACTCCATTCTCACCTCTGCTGACAAGCTTTATGGAGCTGCTAAGTTTAATGACCTCTGATTGGCCAGAACCTAAATCCCATCATTGAAATATGAATTGAGTTAAAGAAGAACAGGAGATAAACCAAATCCAACAATGAAGATGCAGACATGGCAGAGCAGTTAAAGGTATAGTGGAGGATGTTCTTTTTCAGGGTGGATCATCAAAATAAGTGGTCCTCCTAATTGTCAATCGTTCTGGTGATGTGTTTACATATGGACGTCCTACGTGCTCGTCCCCATTTTGACGTACCGATGGTGAGTCTGTCAAAGGGGAAAAATTGCAAATCTTCTTTGGAAAGTAAGCTTGTATAAGTGATGCAAACGGTAACATTTAAACGAGGAGAAATGGGCTTGTGCATGCTCTCACAGGCGTTTTTTTTTTTAAGTGGAGGGGGTGGGTCTTTTCAAAGATTTGTAAAAATCCTCCACTATACCTTTAAGGTTTGAATATTCCTGTTGTTGACTGTTGTTACTTTCCTGCTAACTGTAAACCACCCTGTTACTGAGCCGCATCCTGCTGAGAATGAGTAGTGATAACAGGGAACACGGCCAGCCTGTTCATATCCAGATGCCCTTAGATCATCCAGCTTGAAGGGGTGAGCTCGGGAAAAGCCTGGGAGGCTGACTGGAACCCAGGTGGTCCTGCTCAGACAGATCGCTGAGCTACTAATGACTGACAACCTCTACTATAGAGATTTGTCAGGCACTTGAAGAGCAGAAAAAGCTGCAAAACATGAGTGTGTGTGTGTGTGGAAGAAATGTGGCCATCAGAGGAACTTCAGAAGCAGGAGTAGACTTTGTACAATAACCACATTGGTGGACCCCCCATGACTTCCCTTCGCCCTATGCTACCGCAAACCAGCCCCCTGCTAAGTGCATGAGCTGTTGGTTAATTGTCATGTGGTGAGGTAAAATTACGGGTGCGGGAGGTCTCTGCACCTCCACAAAAGTCCCCGTCTGCTCCCCTCCCTCATGCTACCACCCTTCTTCATCCTTCCTGCAAGTTACAACTAATTCCTGGAGCGGCGCAGCGAGAAAGACGCTGCTATCTCTTATTAAGACCCGCGACTCGACACCCCTACCCACCCCACCCCCTTTTAAGTGCACACACTCTCACATATACAGTACAGTCTCATTCAGAGAACACAGAGGGAAAATAGTAGAGGGTGAGAGAGAGAAAATGGGAAGTAGTCAGCACGCAGGAGTTTTTTTTTTTTTCCACCCCTCTCTCGCTCTCCCTTTCCTTTTTTCTCTGATTTGCCGTGCTTTCCTCAGAAAGCTCCATTGTTCCCCTAGCCTAAGTCTCATCAGGCCTTTTGTGACTGACTATCACAGCGGCAGGCATAGAGCTGGAAATGTATAAATGGTATCATGCCTTGTGATTAATGGCGGTGCTTATGAGTCAGGTCTGATAACGGGCCTGCTCTCTACTCAATTTCAGATACCGTTAATGGAATCTGTCTTCTGCGATTGTAATGTGAGAGCGCCTAATTTGCTATGGAGCTTGAAGCTGTCACCGGCAAGGGATTGTGGGGTCATAAGGGACCTGGCAGCCGTTTGGCCTGCAGCTTGTATCTGCGGTGCTGAATAGAGCAGCTCTCTGCCTGTCAGTTAGCTGATAGGCTGATGAGGACTCTAAGCCACTCCACACAATAGTGGAAAGGGCCATACTGCCTGACTTCCCTAATTGTCGAGCCTGCTCATGTTTCAGAGCCAACATGCTGGGGACTGGGTTGCCTTTTTTTCTTTCTTTTCTTTCCCATCTCTCTTCATGAACTTTTTTTTTCATTTTCCTGTATTTCCTACATCCATCCGCATGCTGTCTTACCCCTTTAATACACACTTTCTGCACCATTTTCCTTTTTCTCCCCCTAATTTCCCCCCCTCTCTGTTTCTCATATTAATAAGTGGTGGGTCTTAGAGTATGACAGATTATCCCAAGTTTGCTTCAATTACCGTAGAGGAGATGGGAACTGCACCGGAGTGGAGGGAAAGGAAAACTTTCCTGCACACATTATATTTAAGAGGCTGAGGATAAAGTGCTATCTGCACCACAGTGGTTTCTGTGACCATCTGTTGGAGATCAACCGGCTGCTGGTAGCAGAGTTCTGATGAAATACCTAAAATCACACAGAGTGTTTTTCTTTTTTGAAGGTCTGGTCTGGGAAGCAAAAATGTGTTAAAAGGAAGATTATCTCTGGTCCCTATTTTAGTCTTAAAGAAGTTGGGGATTATTTGACTGGAAATTTTGTATGAAGTGTAAATGTGCTGATTTTGTTGTTTTTATATATATATATATATATATATATATATATATATATATATATATATATATATATATATATATATATATATATATATATATATATATTTATACACTACCGTCCAAAAGTTTGGAGTCACCCACACAATTTTGTGTTTTCTTGAAAAGTCACACTTATTCACCACCATACATTGTGAAATGAATAGAAAATAGATTCAATACACTGACAAGGTTATAAATAATGATTTGAAATAAGATTTTTTTTACATCAAACTTTGCTTTCGTCAAAGAATCCTTCATTTGCAGCAATTACAGCATTGCAGACCTTTGGCATTCTAGCTGTTAATTTGTTGAGGTAATCTGGAGAAATTGCACCCCACGCTTCCAGAAGCAGCTCCTACAAGTTGGATTGTTTGGATGGGCACTTCTTGCGTACCATACGGTCAAGCTGCTCCCACAACAGCTCAATGGGGTTCAGATCTGGTGACTGCGCTGGCCACTCCATTACCGATAGAATACCAGCTGCCTGCTTCTGCTCTAAATAGTTCTTGCACAATTTGGAGGTGTGTTTAGGGTCGTTGTCATATTGTAGGATGAAATTGGCTCCAATCAAGTTCTGTCCACTGGGTATGGCATGGCGTTGCAAAATGGAGTGATAGCCTTCCTTATTCAGAATCCCTTTTACCCTGTACAAATCTCCCACCTTAGCAGCACCAAAGCAACCCCAGACCATCACATTACCTCCACCATGCTTAACAGATGGCATCAGGCATTCTTCCAGCATCTTTTCATTTGTTCTGCGTCTCACAAACATTCTTCTTTGTGATCCAAACACCTCAAACTTGGATTCATCTATCCACAACAGTTTTTCCAGTCTTCCTCTGTCCAATGTCTATGTTCTTTTGCCCATCTTAATCTTTTTCTTTTATTGGAAAGTCTCAGATATGGCTTTTTCTTTGCCACTCTGCCCTGAAGCCCAGAATCCCGCAGCCGCCTCTTCACTGTAGATGTTGACACTGATGTTTTGCGGGTACTATTTAATGAAGATGCCAGTTGGGGACCTGTGAGGCGTCTGTTTCTCAAACTAGAGACTCTAATGTACTTATCTTCTTGCTCAGTTGTGCAACGCAGCCTCCCACTTCTTTTTCTACTCTGGTTAGAGCCTGTTTGTGCTGTGCTCTGAAGGGAGTAGTACACTTCGTTATAGGAAATCTTCAATTTCTTAGCAATTTCTCGCATGGAATAGCCTTCATTTCTAAGAACAAGAATAGACTGTCGAGTTTCAGATTAAAGTTATCTTTTTCTGGCCATTTTGAGCGTTTAATTGACCCCACAAATGTGATGCTCCAGAAACTCAATCTGCTCAAAGGAAGGTCAGTTTTGTAGCTTCTGTAATGAGCTAAACTGTTTTCAGATGTGTGAACATAATTGCACAAGGGTTTTCTAATCATCAATTAGCCTTCTGAGCCAATGAGAAAACACATTGTACCATTAGAACACTGGAGTGATAGTTGCTGGAAATGGGCCTCTATACACCTATGTAGATATTGCACCAAAAACCAGACATTTGCAGCTAGAATAGTCATTTACCACATTAGCAATGTATAGAGTGTATTTCTTTAAATTTAAGACTAGTTTAAAGTTATCTTCATTGAAAAGTACAGTGCTTTTCCTTAAAAAATAAGGACATTTCAATGTGACCCCAAACTTTTGAATGGTAGTATATATATATATATATATATATATATATATATATATATATATATATATATATATATGATATGATATGCATTTGTAAGGACAGCATGGATCTGTGAAAGCAAACAAAAACAACCTGATAAATATCTAGCTAGAGTAGAGCGACTTCAATCAGCCAAAGATCAGCTGATACTCCTTTGATTAACTCTTGATTGGTTAAAACCATGTAAAATCAGATTATTATTGATCATTCAATAAATGCTTTAAAACTAAGAACTCCCACATTTGTCAGCCTATGAAGACATCAATTCACAGCATGTACTTAAAAACCCTTTCTTAAATTCACTAAAGATCAGAGACACTCATTTCCTGTTTAAAACGATAAACCTGCAGAGCTTCCTTTCCTCTTTTAACATTTATTTTTCATTTAAAAAAAATCTGAATGGATCAAATTTGGAATCAGAAGGTGAGAGTTGATAGAGCGTTAGTTCATTAATAACAGCAAAGAAAAGCCCACTTGGTGCCACTCTAAAGTGTAGCTTGTAAAATTATGAAGTCTCATCATTGGTTTTGGTTTGAGCACTAAAGATGCAGGGGTAAATCGTTCCACTCTTTTCTAATTTTCTACCACACCTTCATTCAAACTTACGGTATATGTCGCCATTGTTTAGTGTTGAAATTTGTACTCACTCAGAGGAGGAGAACTCAACTGGGCTGTTCTCCATTTGAGGTTTTTAGAACAAAGGCTTAAAAAAATCCTGTTAATCCCAGTTGTAGTTGGAATTAGTTTGGAAGATCAAAACCAGAAATCCATATTCTTGACATAAAGCTCTTGTCTCTGTCTTTCTGAGAAGTTAGCTAAGGTTCCTTCTCTACATTGTTAGGTTGACAGGCCCTGGACCTGGAGCAGTCCTGGCTGGAGGGCTGTTTGCCGTGTCCAGGCTCAGCTGGCAGTGGTCGGTGGTGGCCGAAGTCTTCACCCTCAACAACCTTTTCGTTGGCCTTCTCTTCTTCTTGATTGCCAGTTTCCACTGTGCTGAAACCTCCATGCAGAGGAAGAAGGTAGTCCAATGGAGGACATCATACAGTAGCTAAGCACTCATCCTCCTTTAATTGTCTCAGATGTTAAACTGACATGTGGTTCTTGTGTTTTTCAGATCACACGTTGGGGAGCATTTTGCTGCGGTCTGGGGTTGTGTAACCAACACACTCTGGTCCTGTATGTTCTGGTCATTATCCCCTGGGTCCTTTACCGACTCTATGTTCTGAAGGTAAGTCTTTGGGCACCTGAAGAGGAAGTCTGATATGGACTTACATACAAACAGTGAATAAACAATGTGTGAATACTTCTAACAAGGTGATTTGTGAAACATTTATTTAATCAGGAGCTGTCTTTTGTTGGTGTTGTATCTCTGGGATTATGTTTCATCTGTGGCTTTTTGCCATACATCTACCTCCCCGTCTCATCCTTCCTAAACACCGCCCGCTGGAGCTGGGGGGACCAGACCACCCTCTCTGGGTTTCTGACCCATCTGCTGAGGGCAGAGTATGGCACATTCAGCCTTGTACGTGCTGTTTTTTTCTCATTATATGAATCAGAACATTTTATTTTATTAAAAATGTTCCTATAGTATCTGGATGATTTTTAGATCTGTACTTTTCTGTTTTGTAGGCAAAGACAGAGACCTCTGTGAATCTGAGCACAATGCTGCAGTAAGTTTATTAACCTCACCTTAAATATTAAACGTTTTAGAACATATTCATTTTTAAAAGATATTTGCATGTAGTTAACATCTACCTACCTTTGAGTTTTCAATGTTCAAATGAGTTCATAAACTCACTAAAATTCTGAGAAACCTCAGATCTTTCATAGAGGGGCGGTCCTGCTGAAGATTCAGTCAGCACGAGGACTAAAGTCATATAAATCTTAAGTTTTGAAAGATTTCCTGTAGTTTTTCTTTATGTTAGGTAGAAACAGAATTTGCCAAACAACTTCAACAAATTTAGTTTAGATCAATTAAGTATTTCTCAAGTCAAAATTCTAAATTCATAGGATGGACCCAGCTTTTATGTGCACTTCATAAATATACAGTAGTATTGGTGTCAATGCTATTTCAGAAGGACTGTTAGCCTCAGCTGTATCCCTTTGAAAATCAGTTGTTTTTATAGTTTTTGGGTTTCGTGTCCAAGTTGCAGACAATTTAAGGTCAAAAAAGGACATTGCTCAGGATGTTGAAGAACAGGCCTCCGATCTCCTAAGGCAGCGGTGGGCAATTCCAGTTCCTGAGGGCCGCTATCCTGCAACTTTTAGATGTGTCTTTGGTTCAGCACACCTGAATCAAATAATTAGATGATTGAGAGGACTCTGGAGGAAGTGACTGCATACTAAGGAGGTAACCGAGCCATTTAATTCAGGTGTGTTGGAGCAAGGATGGATCTAAAAGTTGCAGGATACCGGCCCCCAGGAACTGGAATTGCCCACCCCTGTCCTAAGGTCAAGCCTTGCTTCAGAGGCTCCTGACAACGACAGAGGGCCCTGAATCAAAAGTGGTACTTTTGAGCTGGAAGGGTGTTAGCAGCTGTCCATGTAGACAAGCCTTCTAATGGAACCTTTTATGGTGATAAATGATAAACAAGCATGTTTTATTGGACCCCAGGTAATGCTTCAAGCCTAAGAGCGCATCAGTGGCAGCATCTGATGGGCTGATATCCTGCCATGGGTGGTAGCACATAACACAAAGGTAGTGGAGTAATGAGGTAAAACTGTGTCCGTATTTATCAGCTTCACCTCAAATGAACAACTAGATGTTTAAAGCTTGACATGATCAAGTGTTGCAAAAGAAAATTGATGCTATTAACACATCCACATTGATTTGGGAACAGATAAAGACAAACGCTTTTCAATGGTCCCATTCTCTAATGGGCTCCACTGGTTTTAAATATAATCAGGTTTTCATTGACTGTCAATATGTATTTTTCTTCTATATAAAGAGGAAATCATTAGCTGCAAACTAGGAGCATGTTTCAGATTTAGGGCTGCAGCTTATGATTATTTTAGTAATCTAGTATTCCAAGGAATAATCAAGTCATGCGTACAATTTGGCACATTCTAGATATATATTTCTTTAAATTACTAAAGGTTATTTTTATAAGTGATGTTGGTACATTATCAAGAAAACACAATGTGTTAAAAGTTATATTCCTTTCTTTAAAAAAAACCCCCAACATATAATAATAATACCGTAGTATAGCATGTCTAGAGCACACTTGAATGTTATAGGGATGGATGCATCTGCATCTAAAGAAAAGTTATAGCGTCAAAAAGTCACCATCTCAGCATGTTCAGCATGTTTTGGAAAGAAAGCTTGTATGAGTGATGCAAACAGCAGAGGTGCAAAAAATATACTTTATTGTATTTTGATTGGATTTTATGTGATACATTAACTTACATTCATAACCAAGTGGCTTATACTGACTTTGGAGGACCTATAAAGATTCGGAGTTTATGTGGAGGATTTTAGTGGTCCCCACTACAGATCTGGTCTTTTATAATCCCCCTTCACACACCATCCATGCAGTAAGGAATGGGTATGGCTGCAGCGTTTTCCTCATAGCCAGAGCTGCAATGTAAGGTCTTAGTTCTTAGGATGGACCAGTCAAATTACAGCCCTCATTCTGTTAGAGTTTATACTGCAGGTCTGGAAAATATCTGTTCAGATGCTTTTCAGCCAAACAGACTGAGACCACTGGCTTAAAAACCCTAAAGGACTTTCATCAGTGGTTGCAGGAAAAAGTGATTTAAATGAAATGCATACTTCTGTTTGCATATAAAATGTTGAATATCATTTTCTGTCTACATCACAATAACATGGGACTTTGTGTTGTGAAGCTTTGCTTCAGCCTTCAACTCATTCCTTTTTTTTGGTAAATTGTTGTTTTATTGTTGTTTCTTTTACTGTTTCCTGAGTTTAATGTTGGATAATTGACCAAAAATAAAGTGAAGTGTTGTTGTATTACAGAAAATCCCAGTTATATATGCCGATGCTTCTGATTGTAACATGTCAAATAGCCAAACAGTTTAGTGCTTATAAGTTTTAAAATTGCTTAGTGTTTTCTGATAAAATAAGGAAAACTTACTTGAATCATAATAAATGACTATATAGAATTTTTAATGAACATTTCCTGCTTCATCTCCAGAGTCTAACTCTCTGTTAACTTCCGTATGTAAAATGGAGCAAAAGAGAAGCTGCAAAGTAAAGTAAAGGCTTTGATCTCAGGCACACTCAGAGCACATTTAGGTCTGAAGATGGAGGACGCAGCCACTCAATGCTTCATGGTTATGGTGGTTTACTAAGGTTTAACTGCAGACACGCCAATCTTCTGAGAGAGCCAAGAGTCGGTGCTGCATCCCTTCTTCCTCCCCTGCTCAGTCTGGCAGCTTTTGTTCTTCCTGTTCCACTCTCTCCCATCAAAGAACTCAACCTGCTTATGGGCCAAAAAAACGCTGTGTACTGTTTCTCTTGCAGTTAGAACTGATCACTCAACTCTAGTGGTGAACCGTGACAAGCTGTGATGACAAACACTGCAGCAGAGCTGGAGAAATTGTATTTTTTCCCCACAAATAAATATCCTCCTCCTGCTCTTCACCACCGCTGCAGTCATCCCACTGCTGCTATCTTTCTCCAACTGATGGGATATGGGGGGGGGGGTTCACTCTAGGACCCCCCTCTGCCAGCCACCCACCCCTTCCCATCACCCCCGCTGCTTGACGGACACGCACACCTTCAATATGGGGAAAAGAGACGAACATGACAGGCATGTCGCTCTGGAGACGTAAACCCGCCGGAGACGTTGAGGCACACTCACACAGACACAGGCTCGTGAGCACATCACACACTGTGTTCATTGGGAGATATAGAGACTCAATAAGCTGTCAAATAGAGATGGGTATTAAGGAAGAGGCAGGGAACTATCTCTCTGCACTGAGCTAGCGCTTTGTGAATGACAGGCGCTGTGAGGAGAGGGCAGGGTTGCCGAGGACGGATGACACAGTCATTCGTATCTGTCAATCCGATTGAAAGAAGACGCACACAGTCCAGGGAGTTTGTTTTCATAAGGGAAGGAGGGCATTTGATAATTGCTGTCCTTGACTTCAGTAACATTAGGCTAATTGAGCTCGTCTTTGGTGTCCATCACACTCCATATATCAGAACACGTGTGTTTTTTTTTGTGTGTGTAGGGCCCAGCTGGACCACTGCTTGGCGGATCTCTCTCCTCCCGTTTTGGTTCTGGCAGGAATAGGCCTCCTCCTCTCTTCGTGGGACAGGTATGAGCAAGATTGCAAAAAAAAAAAAACAACCAAACAAACACATATTTAATCCTCTGGAGTGAAAGACTGCAACAAAAACCACTGACAAAACGTTGATCCTGAAGAAAAAAAGCACAAAAGGAATCTGAAGCTCTTCACTGTCAAGCTGTCGCCACGCTCCACTTTCAGATGGAGAGGAGTTGATATTTATTTTGGATTAAAAGAGAAAAGTGTTTGCATGTGCCTGTAAGTCATTGTGTGTATGTGATGATGGGATCCAGTAATTTCTTACAGTGGTGGCTAGGGTTGGGAATTGAAAAGATTTTCACGATTCCGATTCCCTTTTCGATTCTATGAAACGATTCGATTCTTAATCGATTCTTTTTTCGATTCCAATTTGGGGGAAAAAGGAGAACAAACAGTTTGATTATCAGAATCAACTTTGTTTACTTAACTATTGCACAATCTTACAAACTCAAAAAGATCAAGATGTCCACAGGAAATGTGAAACTGGAGTAACATCTGTGTTTAAATGAAAAATGAATACAAGAACAAACTTAATAACCAACAATGTCTAATAACAAATGATGGGATAATAACCTATTTTAAATAACAAAAAATACTAATTATAAAACAGTAGTAGGGAAAATTAACAGTTCTTTTGCAGAAAGATGAGCATATCTGCTTTTTCTGGAAGGATACGGGATCTTTCAGCGCTTATGGTGTCTCCAGCCGTGGAGAACACCCTCTCAGATGGGGTGGAGGAAGCCTGCACACAGAGGTAGTTTTCAGCCAGTCAGATAGCAAGGGCAGCGTATCTTGCTTGTTCCACCACCACAGTGTGGCGCTATCCCTGCAGGGGATGGAGGGCAAGCTTTTATAGAGCTGGATTTCCTGATCTACCCTCTGGGCTAAGGAAAGACGGGGCTTTGATTCACAAAGTGACCGCAGCACGTTGTCTTCCTCCTCGAATAGTTCTTCCAACTTGCGTAACTTGCGTAACTTGCGTAAGTTGCGTAACTTACGTAAAAAACGTGACGTAAGTCGTGCTCCCCAGAGCCGGCGCTCTCGGCTCTGGTGCTGCGGGAATCGAAAAAAGAATCATTCAGCGAGCTGCCAAACGATGCCATGGAATCGAAAAATACGGAACCGGTTCTGAACAGGAACCGGTTTTCGATTCCCATCCCTAGTGGTGGCTTTGCCCGGGTCTGTGGGGTGGTGCTGATAAAGCCTGGTGCTGCCCTGGAGCTCTGCAGGGCTCCATCCGTTCTCAGCTCCCCCCCCCTCTCCTGAGGTGAACTTTGATAAATCAGACAAACACATGAAGAAGACCAAGGTCAACACTTGGCATGCCAAAGGGAAGCAATGCAAATTTCAACCCATACTGTGTTACAGTTAAGTTTTTATGCAAGAAATTCTTTTTCAAAATTTAGAGGTAAATTTCAAAACTGTAGAAATATATGAAGGTAAATGTTTCAAACAAACTTGCATATAAAACACCAGCTGATGGAGACTGTCAGCATCTAATTGCTGCGGAGCTTATTTTGACTGAGGAGCGTTTTTTCAGGTTCAGATGACGAGCAGTGTGTTTTTTTGCTGGTCTGTAAGCATATTTAACAGCTTTACTGTAATGAGTTTGTGATTCAGAGGCTGGCAGCAGCTCTTTATGACTCAGTCTGCATTAGAAATCAATCATGCACCTCTTAGCTTGCTAAAATATACAAGTACCCTGTTAGCATTAATGATTATTTAATCGTTTGCCAAACAAGTGTATATTACCATTAGCATACAGTAGTTCTGTGTAGAAACAGTGATGATAGAAACTTTAAAGTGCAAAAGAATTTAAATGATTTGGTGTGTAATTGTTGGACCTCCTTTCAATACAATCAGCTCAGTCAGATTGATGGAGAGCCACAAATGTTCAATTAGATCCTAATTAGGCAAGGTCTTTGAACGGTCATTTTAACACATGGATTTGCTTTTATCAAACCACGCATCCTTTATGTTTTGAGTCTTGCAGGTTTTGCTTTCTTTCTTTTTTATATATCATAACAGCCCTAAATTTATCTCAACTCAACTTTCTGTCTAACCTGGCAGTAGCCAGATTGATATGTGTAGAACTGAGTGGATTTCTATGTTATCAAGTCTGTCCGTGAAAAGGAGGGACGTTTAGTACAATACTTCGAGCCGATTGGATGACTAGTTAGACTAGCTAGTACCCGCCTTCCATAATACGGTTTCAGCCAATCGTCGATAGGATTCATCTGCAGCTTTTTGAGTGATTTCACAACTAGCGGAATAATCTGAGTAATCTCAATTTTTCTAAAGACTGGAAGAAGAAAAGCACAGACATCTTTCCCATCTACAAATGCAAAAAGTGCTTCTCTTTGCTCCTTTTTTAAACAAGAAATTGTCTCTATTTTAGCTAAAACCGAGTTAATTACGGTGTGGACAGATGAGTCCTCCAGCGTAGCCATGTTTGCAATGCTCCAGCAAGTCTTTCAAAATGGTATGGTTACTTTCGGTCAGCTTTGGACAATTTCCCCTTAGACTTTGACAACTTGTTTTTTTTTTACAGCTTTCAGAACATTTCCAACCCATAAAGTGCAGCAGTGATCAAATGTAAACAGTTTCCCTTCCCTGCTTAACCAAATTATTCCCACAGAATGAAGCTGCTTCCACCATGTTTTACCATGAGGATAGAGTTAACGCTGATGTGAAGTTTTATACATCAGCCAAATGGTTAAATGTTACTCTGGTCTGATCAGTACCTTTTTCATCATGTTTTCTGTGTTCCTATATTGCTTGTTGTGCCAAACTCTGTTCATGTAGCGAGTATTAATTCAACAGCCTGGATGTTGCTTTATACAGTATACTTCTGTCCCAGTCTACCTCACAAATTGATCCATTTCTGCTGCAATCATTCTTTTTTTGATGGTGCTGTTTGTTCACTAATGTTCCCAACCTCTGAGACCAACAAGATTTACATCTGAAGGCAATAGGATTTAGTTTAAAAATGTAAACATGATGCACAATGCAGTTTATGGGGTACCGTATTTGATTATTGATTACTTGAAAATGAAAGCGAATGAAATTTCTGATTCCTGTATGATCGGTGTTCTTTCCTTTTTAGGACCTGCTGCTCAGTGTCCCGGCTGCTGACTGCAATGCTGATTTTCTACTCTCTGTTTTTTGCCTGGAGAGCTAACCTGGACATCAGCAGACCTCTGCTGCTCGGAGTGGTAGGCAGCAATAGTCACATTTCAGCCGCCTAAATGTTTGCTGATTTCTTTTAGATTAAATGCATTTGATCTTGAGTAAATATGATCTTTATATTTATGCATTAAATTTCATGCAGGTGGAGCGCTTCTGGCTCCAGAGTGACGCTGTAGTCTGCGTGCTTGCCGGCCTTGGTTTGAGCCACACTCACACTAAGTTGGAGAGGTGGCGTGGACATGGGGGGCTGTGGAAGACCGCCGGCTGGGTTTTCACTTTAGCGCTGCTGGGACGAATGGGTCACACCAACCACAGGTAAACACAGCAGTGTTAGAATAAATAAATTTGTCATTGACTTATGAGGCAAACAAACACGTGCCTGTGCTGCCTTTAATAATACAGCAGGAATAATTAGGTTTTATTGGATGTAAAACAACAGACTGTCAAACAAACATTGTATAACTTTGAAAATTAAACAGTTAAAATTGTTGCTTGGTAGTTAAATGAGAACAGAGTCTGAGTAAAGCAATGTCAGCACTTTGAACTTTACTTTAGAGTAATCTGCCCTGCAGTATTTCTGCTCTGTAGATTTGTAGTTAAACACTCCTATGTTGTTTGGGCTCAAACTCCAACTCAGTTTTGTAACCTTGCAGTTTGCAGACAATTACAGAAGTAATTTTACAACAGCAAAGATTTGTATCACAGTAGACATAATTATTATAGCTGCATTGTATTGCACTTCCACGGGCTATTAGTAATTCCAGGCTCTAATTGTGTTTTTGCAGCAGGCACTTTTTTTAATTCTGTGCAATCTTTGGCCATTTATCTCAGTTAAACGGTACTCCTGCTGCAAATGTTACAATGGAACCAAAACAAATGCACTTTTATTCACCTAGAAATTTACTGCTTTTTTTGTTTCTTGCATTTTGTTTTGTTATAACCTATTATTTTGTTAGTATTTTACTTATAAAGTAATACATAATTAAGGAGTGGAAGTAATAGGATGCCGATTTTTGGCAAGTTAAAAAAGTAAATCTGAAACATTTAATCTAAGCTGTTTGAGCTTTTGCTATATGAAGAAAAACGGTAGACAACAGAAGTTTAACCATCAAGTTTATCAAGACTTACCTAAACGGCCTGCAGCAGTAATTGCAGCACAGGTGATTGTAGTAAGTGCTGAGTCATAGGGGCTGATTAAGGGTATGAATACTTTTATTGAAAACTATATGAGGAAAAAAATGAAGTAGTTGTTTTCTTTTTACTTTTGCCACAAATACCCACATAGATGCATGTTTTTTTTTTTCCTGAGTCAACCTAATTTGTTTCTCCTGCACCTCATCCCACAGTCCTGAACTCCACATGTCAGGTTTTTCCTTTGCTTGCATGTTAGTAAAAGCTAAAGAGAGGCACGGTTAGCATGCAGATTCCATTTGTAGGGCTCAGTCTGAGATGTTAGCTGTCCGAGAATGCAGATTACAGCAGAGGAGCGCCACAGAGTGCCAGACAGCCATCACAGAACGGCTTTGATCAGCGAGCAGAGCGTGGCCTGTGCTGTCAGGCCAATCACACCTGTCTGCCTACAATTGGATAGGCAGCAAGAGAGCTGTTTGAAGGAAAGGTGGGAGTGCGCTGATGACTTACCCTGAGAACACACACATGAGCATACACAGCTGTATAATATATATATATATATATATATATATATATATATATATATATATATATATATATATATATATATAAAGGCCTCTAAGTAAAGGTAAGAGTGGTCCTATTTCTGAATGATGATGATTGAATGCATGACAAACGTTTCAGGGAGTGTGACCAGAGCGGTAACAATGTGGTGGAGCGATTCGGCAGGGAACTTTTGGCCTCCTTCCCAAAAGACTCACTCATCCTGACCAGAGGAGACCTGCCAGGAAACTCTCTGCGTTACCTGCACTACTGCCAGGACATCCGGCCTGATATCCGCCTGATTGACCAGGAGGTCAGACCCTCCATTTCTGTTGCCTCTATTCACTATCCAACTGTTCTACCTACACCAATCTAAAGCAAAGACTCAATAAAAATCATTTAGACTCTTTAAAATACCCATTTTAGTAAAACAAACCAAATGCTTTACATTTTAAATATCATAAAAATTATCTTTCAGATAAAAAGGATAATAGAATTAATATTTGATATGGTCTAGCTGATGTTGATTTACATGACTTTCTTTCTTTTTCCTAGATGATGACATATTCTTGGTATGTGTCCAAGCTGGGGGAGCATCTTCCTGGGGTCCATTTTCCGGGTCGCTGGTGGGACCCGGTTCAACGTGAAGAAAAGGACACCTTCAGTCTTGAGCAGTTTCTCTCCCACAACATGAAGTGAGTCTCTAAAGCGCAGGGAGGGAGCAGTGAGGAGAGGAAGGATGGTCTGAAGAGCTAAATAGGAAGATGTTAAATGGAGCAACTGTACTGGGAGGGTAACAATGGTCCAAATGAACAAGTGGGTGATCTAACGAAGGAGAGATCAGTAGGGATGGTCCACACAGCGGTGAGTGCAGGGAGAAGATAAGCCCACTGAATTGTTGAGGCTGTAAAAGAGTTTGATGAACCACAAAAGTCAGCTAATCTACTGGATTTGGTTAAATGGTCTCTGGTGGACTCAACGCTGCTCCCTGTTCTCGTGTCTGCTCCCCCAGATGGATCCAAGACCCTGCAAATGCTTTGTGGCTGGCTAATACCAACACCACCAGGGGGCAGTGTTTGACAGGCCAAAATAATTTCCTCTCTGTGGGGTAGTACTGACCTCTGGGATTACCCCTGGGGTTGGTGAGCTGCACAGGGATATAACTACCCAGAAGGTGTTTGGAGGAAATGCTTGTATGTTTATTGTTTCCTATCATAAATCACCTGATTTTACCCCATAGGAGGGACATATTTGCCTGCATTGGACTGACTGATGGAGATCCCAGCTGGGAGCATAGCTTCTCTCGTTGGCCTCTGGGCGTGTGTGAATACCTGGTCCCGGCTCACAGGCAGTTTCACCCAGAACAGTGGGCTGAGCGCACCTGCAGCATCTATAACTGGAGCGAGCCACACAACAGGTGACTGCTTAAAAACAGAAAGCCATGATCACTATAGCAGCGTGTCATAACCTGTCAAAATGCTCATAAATTCTTATATCAAAGTATCTTAATGGAAAGTTGAGTGGAAGCTTTATTAAAAAAAAGGATATCTACACCCTTGAGAGGTTCATAAAACACAAATTAAAGTGTTGGGGAAGATTGATGAGGTCTGGACTGAAGCTGGAGTCAGTTTTTCAAGAGCTAAAGAAATCTCTAAGGTATGAGATGCCATGTTTCCTGTTAGGGCTGCAACTAACAATTATTTAGCACATTGATTCATCTGTTGATAATGTTTTTGATTAGTCGATTAACAATCGGATAATCAAAGGTCCCATAAAGAAGACTTTTAACGAAATTAAACTGGGTGAAACTAAAACTTTTCCACTTGAGGAGTTCCTGATAAAACATATTGACAGACAAAAAAGTTTTTTTTGTCATAAATGCAAAATATTTATTTTATTTTTTCCAATTTTGTTATAACTGCTGCTCAAGGTGGGTCGCTCTGGGAGCTAAAGACACGTTTTAGAGTCTCTACACTCCAGTTACGTTTAATCGATTAGTAGATTAGTTGATGATTATTTTAATAATCAATTAATCCAATAAATTGTTTCAGCCCCATTCCTTGTGTTAAAGTATAGCTTAAGAAAACTTCAGAAAAATTATTCACTGGACTGAGGAAGAGGAGGACAGCACTGCATCATTTAAGCAATTTTATACATTAGGATTGATAAAACTTTATTTCCATGAATCCATTGTATGCAGGGACATCAGTCCATTCCTGTGTCCTTTTTGTGTTTGTATATAAACAAAAGACAAATCTCGCAACATAAATCCACTCGCTCCTTTTCGTCTCTGTGGTCTCCCTTCCTCAGACTCCAACTGTTTCTCTCCATTGAGTTCATCCGCTGCTCTCCCTGCTGCAGTCCTCCTCTTTGTGAATTCAACCAGAGCAAGACATTAGGCCCTCAGCCATTTGAAATGAGACTGAAGATGAAAAATAATGAGTTTCTTATTGCATTTTGTCAATAAGTGTGTCAAAACTGGAATTAGTCAAAGCTCCATATTCTGCTGCTGTTGCCAGCAGCCTTTCTTTCACTTAGATATCCACGGCTGAATACTGTGACATTATTTCCTGCGCCCTTACGACAAGTGTGTCCGCAGATGGCCAGGAGCCAAATATTAGCCGAGAGACCTTGCTGCTAAAATATTCTTTTGAAGAAGGGGTCAAGCTTTTGCACTCGGGAAAGCGAAGAAAGGCAGATGTGGTTTAACTGCATGTCTAATGTGTTAGCTGGTATTGTTGCTCACTCATTTCATGTTGATGCATGATTTAAACCTGCAAAGTTATCATTTATAGTGACAGGAATTATGCATAAAGGCATGCCTGAAGCTGCTTTGAATAAAGTGTTTTTTTTTCTTCTTTTTTTTTTTTGCTTGACTTTGAACAGTTTTCATCCTGCATCTTGGGAGCGAGTTGCTAACGAGGAGATGTGGCAAGCGAGGTATGTTAAAACATTTCACAGAATATATGGATGTCCCTGTATGGTGCACATAAAAAGCTGCGTCACTATGCACCCTGTGCACCGAGAACATCTCCATAAACCAGTCTGGTGTGGTAGAGCATCTGCATGTACATTCTGTTCGGTGGCTGCATCTACATAAGTCACTCTATCGTAGTGGTGCGTTTGAGAGTGTGGATCTGCATGACTCATCCATCCAGCACTTAGCCCTGAGCCTGTGTGCTTTGTTTCAGGATGAAGACAGCTTTCTTTCTGTTTGACCTGGCAGAGAGGACGCAGGGAGAGCAGAAAGCGCGTCTCTTTGAGCTTTCTTACGCTGTAAGCCTTAACCTAATTAAACGTGTATCAGACAGATGCCCACACTCAAATACTGTTTCCATTTGTTTGACACTCTGTTATATACAGCTCTATACAGAAATTGTCGGGGCCCACTCAAACTACCCTCCAAACTGGGACAAGAACCTTGCTCTGGTGTGCGAGAGGCTGCTCCGCTCAGGTCACCGGGGCTACAGTCCGGACCACCTGCTGACCTGCAGCATTCATCACTTCAGTCTTTACCTGCAAAAGGATCCCACTGATCCCCAGGCGGACGCCATACGCTCAGCCGTGTCCCACCTGCTCAAGGAGAGAGACAGACTACGCCACATCCAGAAGAAAACTCCATGAGTGAATTCTTGAAAGCGGCATGGAATGAAACACCAAGAACTTGCTCCGAACCGACCAGTGCTCGATTGTGCCATTGAAAAGACTTCAAACTATCCTTCCTTTAACATTTTGATACATGCTGTCTTTTTACTTTAAATTAAATGATTATTTTTTGTCACAAAGGTTTTTCATTGCTCTGTTTTTTTTATGTGTTCTTCAGCAAACAAAAAAAAATGAGGATGCATTTTTACTGACAACCATTTAAAAATATGCATTAGTAGAACTATTTCACAATATAACCCCAACATCTAGATGTTCCCTTTGGATTCAATAAGAAAAACAAACACATAGTAATGTGTTATTAATAATTAAAAATGAATTTCTAAAATCTCTCATTAATAGTATTCTGGAAAGTCATTTTTGCGTTTGTACTCAATAACGTCCATATGGCCTTATTAAGTCTGACTAGCTTTCCTATCCTCGCTGAAGATCATACCCACAACATGACACTGCCATTAGGCAAGGCAAGCTAATCTGTGTAACCCATTTCTACAAGAAAGTTTTAAGTGGTTTAAAGCAGTAAATAATAGGAAAATAAAAAAATGTAAAAGGTAGAAAATGAAAGGTTGCACTACAGACTTAAATGGTTTAGTTGACAGTTTAAATTGAGGATTTGAAAGTCATGATTTAAAGAAACTCAGGAATTTTTGCAGTATTCTGTTATTTTTCTCTCCAGATTAGTACGAGATGAAAACTGAAAGCTGGTTCTGCATTTTTGCTCCGGGTCTGTAGAGTAGCCTTGAGCCAGAAGACCTGAGAGGTCTGATTGATGGGCTTAGTTAAGACTAGCAGAAGTATGTTAAACTCTGAGAGCCACAGTAAGGACTCTAGATATTGGATGATGTGCCTGCCGTAGTTTTAGTGAGAATGCAGGTCTGTTGAACTATTTAGTCCAACCGATGAAGACATTGTTGCATTTATTAACTAAAGATAATTGCATGGGTTAGTTGTCCCTATACGGGCATTAGTCTGAGATGTTACTCCTAAAATGTTTGTGGGTGATAGAAGGCCAACAGTCTTTACGTGCCTTTGAAGGTCTACATTCATCACGTGACTAGTGGGTTCATGGTTTTTAGGGACTTGGATAATTGTTAAAGGCATTATCAACACAGCAAGAGGACTCTACAGACTTAGCCATATCCAAGTTCAGAAAATTTTTATATTTCTGTCTCACATGGCTGGTGTCTTTGTGCCAAGTTTCTTCCAGCAGAGCGTTGGATCTCTGCAGCTCCTCCATAGCTACCATTGGCTACTTGGTGCCTGTTTACTCTACTGCATGGTGCTGTGTGTTTTACTAAGGTTCTCTTATTAACCTCTGAAGCCTTTACAGAACAGCTGTCTTTGCAGTGAAGAGGCGGACTCATTTTACTAACTACCTTCTGGAGATGTGCAGGCTCATTCCTTAAAGAACAACAAGAAGGCTTATTTTCTGTACATTTTTAAAATAGGAACATATTCAATTTTAACGAAATTTCAATAGGTGACCCTAGTTCCCCATTAAATTTGGAAAGCTCTAGATAAAAAAATAAATAAAAAAAAAGCAATAAACAATTGATATCAATAAGGAACTGATGAAGAGTGACTCTATTCTTGGTAGGTGGGGTAAATCTGCACCAAAGTGCTGCAACAATAAAACAGACTGAGCTTTTCTCCTGCAGCACCTGTGCTTTTCACATTAAGTTCTAAGTAAGAAATGGACCGAAGAGAAATGCTGATGGATGAAAACTTGTCCCTATTTCTTAAATAGAGCTTCAGAGGAAACAACAACTCACAGTCTCATTTCTGACCAACATGTGAGCCAAAAGCCAAAATTATGGTGTTTTTTTTTTTAAATATATTTTTAGCTACTCTGTCTTTTTCCTCTGCTGGTCTGCTGTTTGAGCTTTTAATGTGGAGATTATATTACCATGGCTTCTGATCTAGTTTCTTTTACTCACATTAGGATGCCAGGGCCGAGATTGAGGGAAACCCAATTTAGGGGCAGAAATGGTGGATTAAATGTCTGTTTAATCTGGGGCAGACTTACACTGCCATGCCATGCAGTCTTCAGTACACATTGCAAGCCATAAACACGACCCCTCTATCCCTCCATCACTTTGTCTTCGATGGCCCTTTAAATGTTTAAAACTAATGGATTCAATAAGTGTTTTTTTTTCCTCTTTTCCTTCCTAACAAGGGAGTCATAATCCCTTCTGGATTTAAATGAAATATGAAATGTCACAATGCCAGAGACCCTTTTAGAGGTGTGGTTCTGTGTGCATGCATGTTGGTATTTGTGTGTACACATGGTTAAATCCACACTCAAGCTTTTCCTGCTGCCAGAGATGCACGTAAACAAATTTGATGAACAGATTGGTGCAACGCAAAACAGTATGTTTTGATCATTAGTGAGGTTCTCTCATTCTACCTCCGGGGGACATGCATCGACAGTCAGACCCCAACTTGTATTCAGTCACAGAGAGAAAATGATGGAAAGCAAATCCAAATTATGTGTGCCTTCCCAAACTTCTTTTTCTTTTTTTGTAAATCTGACCTGCAGATACAGATTTCAGCTAACTGTTCTCTTTGAAAGAACTGTAATAAAAAAAAAAGACATATAAACAGCATGATTTTTTTCCCCCCAGCCTTCCGACTTTAAAAAGTTATCGGTTGTAATGCAACCAAGGCTATACCGTAACACTGTAAAAGAGCAGATTTAAAAAATATATATATTTTTGCAGCCTTTACATTTTAGAATAAACTCATATAGAAGTAGACACTTCAGAGGGAATTTTAGTAAGTCTGCCATGTTGATAGTGGAAAGTTTGCCTTAAAACTCACTACAAGTATGGATGGGAACAGTTTTTTATTTAATAAAGATAACTCAAGTTTTCTTTTAGCTAATTTTTATTATTCTCTTTTTTTTTTAGCCAGTTTCCACTGTCTTTTGTGTGGTAAATGTATTTACTCCAGCAAACCCTATTAAAATGATAGTATTACATCCCCAAATAACCTGGCACTCACTGATTCATTTAAGTCAAGGCAAACGAGGTAATGAACCATATATTCATATGTCTACAGAAGCCTCCAGCTGGGATTCAAACCCAGGACTCTCCACCTCCTGCACAGTGCAATCCATCTCTTTTTAATCTATTTTAATCTTAAACGATAAAAGGATATGAAAACTAATCATGGTTTTTTAGATATATATAATTTTGCTGAATTAATATAGTTAAAGCCAATGATAATAACAAATACTATAACCTCTAATGGTATTTAATTTAGTTTTAGTTAGTAAAACATATAAATTTTCCCTGGACAGACATCTATGGCGACCTCTGTATATTTTACGCTGCTACCACTTACTCTGGTTGCCTTCCTGTTACCTGCAGAAGTGTTGCTCTTTCATTTCCTTCAGTCTGAAGGAAGGGCAGACTCACTTGCTTAAAACATGATGGCTTCCTTTGAAGTTGCTGGTTACACTCACTGCTGCTCTTCAACAGCCTTTTCTTTAAGATGCCTCAGTAACATGAAAATGGCATCTCGGCGTGATCCCAGGATCTTTGCTTCAGTCACACATTTTTTTTAAATGTTTGTGTTTATTCCTAGTGGCGTGCAAATAAAATTTGTCATCTACATATTATTTTATTTCTTTCCCTACAAGATATTTGTTATGCTGTTGAAGAGGCCTGCTGTTGGAGATACAACTGGATGGGAGAGAACAGCAGGTAGGAGAGTGGTTTTCACAAGATGTAATCTGCCTTTCCCGTTGCTGGCCTTTTTAGTGGCTGTGAAGTGATTGGATGATGAGATTTGACCAGCAGTTGCAAAAATGGTTTGGTGCTTCAAAAGGCTGTCTAAAAATGCAATTTTTTTAATAGGCTGTTTGTGCTTTTCTGTCATATATTCTTTAAAAACATCTGATTTGATCCTAGAAGAAAAAAAGTATAGCATTATATTTTATACCTTCTTCTGTTACAGCCAGGCTCCCCTGCGTCTCCTTTCCTCTCACCAGTCTGTTCTCCCCTTCTCCCCTGTTTTTGAGAGTCACTTGCCCACCCTAAATCCGCAAGCTGCCGAGGATTGTGGGAACCCGTGGAATCGCCGTGACCAGGGATGCAGGCAGGGAGCCACGGCAATGCTGGAATGTGGGGCGTCTGAGGAGATAAGAGCTGCAAGCCCGAGCCATGGAGGGAACAGGGGTGCAGTGAGCATGGTGGAGAGAAGTGGTGGTGGGGGGTTTGAACGGCAGAGTGAGGAGGGTGAGACGGGAACAGGGGCGGCTGCATGCCGGTGAATGGGGAGACAGAAACACAACGCCATAAACAGCCAGAGTGTATGAGTGAAACGAAGAAAGAGGAGGGAGCACGCTGGAGATGGGAAGCCAGCCTTATTCCTCTTTGCATTTCATTTACATCCTTGGCCGTATCGACCAATCGGATTGGGAGCAAAGCCCAGGGCTTAGGAGGGGAATAAAAAGACAAAATGCCTTTGCTGCTCTCATCCCTCCCTGATAATACCCCTTCTGTTTTTCTTTTCTCCTTTTCTCTCGTCTATAAGTAGATACTGTCCGAAATGCCAGCAGAAAAGCGACACCTCCGCTTGCTGTGTATCTCAGATAGACCGAGCGGGAGCAGGGGCTGAAAAGACAGCTTTAGCGACTGGGCCTATCTCCACTCCTCTCCCTGGCTGGGCTGGATGGAAACTCGGAGTGGAGAGAGGCGGAGGGCCTGGGTGTGTTGGTTAGTGCTTGGGAAAAGAATAGAGGGTGTGAGAGGCATGATATACTAAGCTGGCAACAGATTTCACAGAATCTTACACTTTGAAAAACTTTGCCTCAAGATCCCTTTTCTAAGCATGAGAAACCTGTTTCAAGGATGTTTACCAGGTACCACCCATCTTTGTGAAGGTTGCAAATTAGTTCTGCTGAACTTTACATATTTTTAGCTAAAGGTTGCTCACTGTTATTCTACTCTTTTGCACAAAATTGCAGGATTTTCTAAAACCTGGTTCTCAGGTTGAATGAAGGGTTTTCTTACTCAGCTTATCAACGTGTATTGGGTAGAATTAGGCTTATTAACATCAGCCTGTGCTGTCTTGATTGACTTGTCTCCAGTTTCAGTTTGCTGTTACTCTCCAGTTGCA